GATCACAGTTCTTGATTTGTGGAAGCTTCTGTTTCTTAATTTCACTCCAAAACCCAATGTTTTCGTTTACAACACAATGATCTCTGCTGTTTCAAGCTCGAAGAATGAATGCTTTGGTCTATATAGCTGTATGATTAGGCGCGGTGTATCTCCGGACAAGCAAACGTACCTTATGAAAGCATCGAGTTTTCTGTCGGAAGTGAAGCAGCTTCATTGCCATCTTGGGAATCAGATATGGAATTATCTGTTTAAGTTGTATATGGAGGAGTTTGGGTTATGCAGAGAAGGTGTTTGCTATAATGCCTAAACCAGATGTCAGCTCTTTTACCACCATGATTGTTGGTTATGCTAAAGAAGGGGTTTAGTTTAAAGGCATTGGAACTGTATTATAAGATGGTTGGTGCTGCTGGTATTGAATCCTTGTTAGCCGACACCTTTACGGGCCTTTATTTAGGTCCATAAAGTTTTTGTGTATATATGTATTAGTTTTGTAAGAATCCCTTTATATCGAGGACTTGCGTTTGTTGATTTCTTGAGAGTTAATATGATGCGGAGTAACTACGCGGCGGATCCTGAGTTCACGACATCAAAAACAGCGGTGTGGTGGGACATCAATGGTTGTCCGGTTCCCGATGGTTATGATGCTGGTCGGGTCCGTTCGAGTATAGAAGGGGCCCTTAAGAATTTAGGCTACTCTGGTCCTGTCACCATCACTGCCTATGGCGACCTAAGACAAACCCCTGACCACGTTCTGCGAGCTCTCTCTTACACTGGAGTCGTTGTTCAACACACCGTTAAAGGTTAATCCTTGTTGTTATAGATCGATCTCTGGATATTTTCTTTTAAAATTAGGGCTTTAAAATCAACAACTGTGGTTTCCTTTACTGAAACAGAACTGAGATGCCCATTCATGTATTCGGATCTGCTGGAATGGCGAGAGCATAATCCTCCTCTGGCTACAATAATGCTTATATCGGATCAGGTGGAAGATGTCTTCGCTCTCGCTCTTTGCCGGGAACAACAACAGAAGCAGGGATACAACCTTGTTCTCGCATATACTTATATATCCAGCAAATATTCACTCCTGTACACTACTGCAGAGTGGCTCTGGGGAAGCTTACTGACAGGTGTTTGTCCTTGAAATAACCATCAAACTATATAAGCTGTTTCTGAGCTAATCAGTTTTCTTACACAGATTCAGAGACACCAAGACAGGTTCTTCACAAGTGCAGTGAAACGGGTGAATCTGCCATGTTTCGTTGCAGATCGTGCGATTTTGATACCCAAAGCCTCGAAGATTTTACCAAGCATCTCTTGGGTGAAGAACACGCACAGAAAGTAAGTTAGCATCCTCTCTGCTTACATTTTTTATTAATTTTCTAACTGTCTGAGTAACAACCTGTTATCTTTTTCCAGGAGATTATAGTTATTCAGTCTACTCGTCCAAGTGTTGGCCCGGAGTACGAGCAATCACAGGCAAGTTTTCTTAATCCTAATTGTAGTTTTTCAATCCTTGGAGGTTTAAACTGAAGTGGTCGCCACTTTGGAGGTTTTGTATGCAATTTTCCCGGAAATATATCACATAATCCTTGTTAGCCCACACTTGCTTTTATTTACACCCATAAGTTTGTGTACATTTATCAAACTTGAAAGAAACCCTATGGATCTTGGACTTATGTCTCGTAATTTATTTAGATTAAGAGGATGGCGAGGAACTACTCAGCGCCGCCTGAGTACTCCACATCTAAAACGGCGGTCTGGTGGGACATGAGGGACTGTCCGGTTCCCGATGGTTATGATGCTCGTCTGGTCTGTCCGAGTATAGAAGGGGCATTGAAGAATTTAGGCTACAATGGTCCTGTTACCATCACTGCCTATGGTGACATAGAACAAACCCCTGAGCATGTCCTGCGAGGGCTCTCTTCCACTGGCGTCGCTCTTCAACACACCGTTAAAGGTTAATATACTTGTTATCAATCGATCTCTGGAATTCTTTTTAATTAGGGTTTGATTTTTCCTATTGCTAGTCAACTGGTTTCCTTTACTGAAACGGAAACAGTTAAAAGATGCTCACTCATGTATATGGATATGCTGCTATGGCACGAGCATAATCCTCCTCCGGCTACAATAATGTTTATATCTGATCAGGTGGAAAATTCCATCTGTAGCGGTCTTTGCCGGTTTCAACAACGGGAGCCTGGATACAAACTTGTTTTGGCATATACATCTACTTCTACACAAGCTTCAGTCCTGGTCACTTCTGCAGAGTGGCTCTGGGGAAGCTTACTGACAGGTGTTTGTCCTTGAAATAACCATCAAACCGTATAAGCTGTTTTGAGCTAATTAGTTTTCTTTCACAGATTCAGAGACACCAAGACAGGTTGTTCAAAAGTGCAGTGGAACGGGTGAATCTGCCATTTTTCGTTGCAGATCATGCCTTTTTGATGCCCAAAACCTTGAAGATTTTACCAAGCATCTCTCGGGTGAAGAACATGCGCAGATAGTAAGTTAGCATCCTCTCTGCTTGTATCAATTAAGTTTTACTTTACAGACAGTTTGAGTAACAACCTGTCTGTTATCTTTTTCCAGGAGATTAGTATTATTAATCAGTCTATTCGTCAAAGGGCGGAGTACAAGGCAAGTTTTCTTAATGCTAATTGTAGTTTGTTTAAGAGAAAAATAATGCCATGTTAAGTTCTTCCGTCTCTAATACTCATGTTTCATATGCATCTTGCAGAGAGAAAATTCTCCAAAGAGCAAATGTTTGAGGAAAGCATTCCGGACGGATTTTCACTTTGGTAATTATTTACGTCTTTCTAATCGCCGTGGAGCTCGAGAAGAGAAATTGTTGCAGAAGTGATCAGTCCTGGAAGCTCTCTCGTTCGATGAATGAGCTTTTTGTGTTTCTGTTGTTGTTTTAAGTGATTTATTTTTCAAAAGTATTGTTGGTTTTAAAATACGATGGATATGAATTTAAAAAGTAAGTAATCGTGTACTCTCTAACTTAATTTTATTATAAGACATAGCTACTATACACATATTGCCTTCTTTGGAGATTCGAAAGTAACATTTGATAACTTTGCATAAGTGTGTGATCAAAGAGGAAGAAACCAAGAAATTTCAGTGTAGAAGACTGTCAACTAAAGAGCTTGGTTTCAAATTTGAAGCAGTCTCTGTAATCTAATGTTGGTGCGTAGAGGGATTCGGTTGTTTGTCACAGAAACTGCTGGGAACAAGAAGACAAGATGGGATCCTGTTCGTTCACCTCAGTTTAATCACCAATCTCTTGTTCTGCTGGAGAAATGCAATTCGAAGAATCAATTCAAGCAGATTTTGGGACAGATGATGCGTGTCAATCTCATAGGCGATACGTTTCCCATGAGCCGTCTTATATTGTTCTCAGCGATCACATATCCAGAGTACATCGATATGGCGAAGCTTCTGTTTCTTAATTTCACTCCCAAACCCAATGTCTTCGTTTACAACACAATGATCTCTGCTGTTTCAAGCTCGAAGAATGAATGCTTTGGTCTGTATAGTTGTATGATTAGGCACGGTGTTTTTCCGGACAAGCAAACGTATCTCTACCTCTTGAAAGCATCGAGTTTTCTGTCGGAAGTGAAGCAGCTCCATTGCCATATCATTGTCTCTGGGTGTTTGTCTCGTGGGAATTACCTGTGGAATTATCTGGTCAAGTTGTATATGGAGCTGGGAGGTTTGGGTTTTGCAGAGAAGGTGTTTGCTGTAATGCCTGAACCAGATGTCAGCTCTTTTAACACCATGATTGTTGGTTATGCTAAGAAGGGTTTTAGTTTAGAGGCATTGGAACTGTATTATAAGATGGTTGGTGATGGTTTTGAACCTGATGAGTACGCGGTGCTGGGTCTTCTAGTTTGTTGTGGTCAGTTATCGGATATTAGGCTCGGGAAAGGAGTTCATGGTTGGATTGAGAGGAGGAGACCTGGTTCTTCATCTAATTTGATTCTGGGTAATGCTCTTTTAGACATGTATTTTAAATGCAAAGAATCTGGTCTGGCTACCAGAGCTTTTGATGTGATGATGAACAAGGACATGCGTTCTTGGAACACTATGGTTGGTGGATTTGTTAAGCTTGGGGACATGGAAGCTGCTCAGGCTGCTTTTGATCAGATGCCTAAAAGGGATCTTGTTTCTTGGAATTCTCTGCTTTTTGGTTACTCAAAGAAGGGATGTCATCAAAGAGCCGTTAGAGAATTGTTCTATGAGATGTTAATGGTGGAGAAGGTTATTCCAGACCGCGTCACTATGGTGAGTTTGATAAGTGGTGCAGCAAACAATGGAGAACTAAACCAAGGAAGATGGGTACACGGTTTAGTGATCCGCCTGCAATTGAAAATTGACGCCTTTTTGGGTTCGGCTCTGGTAGATATGTACTGCAAATGTGGTATCATCGAGCGGGCCATCATGGTATTCAAGACAATTTCTGAAAAAGATGTCACGCTTTGGACAACGATGATAACTGGGTTTGCTTTCAATGGAAATGGCCAGGAAGCTCTGCAACTATTCGAAGAAATGCAAGAAGAAGGCGTGACGCCAAACAAAGTCACTCTGCTTGCTGTTCTAACAGCTTGCAGTCATAGCGGACTCGTGGAGGAAGGGCTACACGTTTTCGACAACATGAAGGAGAAATTCGGCTTTGACCCTGAAACCGAGCATTACGGAAGCCTTGTGGATCTGTTGTGCAGGGCAGGGAGAGTAAAAGCGGCGAAAGACATAGTGCAAAAGAAGATGCCAATGAGACCGAGTCAGTCAATGTGGGGATCAATCTTAAGCGCTTGTCGGGGAGGAGAAGATATCGAAACCGCGGAGATGGCTTTAACAGAGTTGCTTAAGTTGGAACCTGAAAAAGAAAGCGGATACGTTTTGTTGTCCAATATCTATGCAAGCGTTGGAAGATTTGGATATTCGAACAAGACGAGAGAAGCAATGGAGAGTAGCGGAGTAAAGAAGATTGCAGGATATAGTAGTGTAGTTGGAGTAGAGGGAATTAATAGCTTTGTGGCTACAGAGGAGCAAAATCATCCAAGATGGCTTCAAATTAGAGGAATATTGTACCAGCTGAACGATGAGATGAAATCAAAATTGGATCTTTTTGAACTTGTTAGGAACATAGATCAGTTAGCCATTTAAGGAAAGTCTCCAAAAAGTATATAACTTCAATGATATTTCTCAATTTGTTTGGATATTTTCCATCAATTTCACGATTTTGTATTCGTCTTGTAGATCTACGCAAATTAGAAGTATTATTGATCAGATCTAAATGGTTACAAAAATTGCAAATCGATATACCAAAATAACTTTAGATATCATACATTTGTAGATTAGTGTATTTAGAGATATTATTCATAGAGATCTAAATGATTATACGTATAGCAAATCGATATACCAAAAGAATTGTGGAAATCAATTGCACATATCTTGTAGATCTATGAGAAATGTATTATTGATAGGATCTACATGATTACAACTATTGCCAATCGATATATTTTGGATATCAATCGTTGCATATATCTTGTAGATATATGCAAAAAAGGAGCTAATAGAGAACATTTTGATGGTTATCAAATGTATATATATGATGAGCTCTGCTCTCTCTATAATATTATTAATTAAATTACGAAAACATTAGATAGGAAAATCATAATATAAACACACGTTTATTAGTAATTGTATCTTAATGGTTATTAAGTGTATATATGACGGACGACTTCTTCTCTTTTTTTTCCAGCTGTTGTTTCTTCTCTCAACCTTTGTCATGCTTCTTTTCTTGGCCAATCTACTCGCCAAATCTTCACCCACTTCTTTTGACATTATCATTAACTGTCTCCATTGCCATGTTTTCGCAAGAGATCCGTTGACATTATGAGAGAATTTATGGGTTATCTAGATTATCATTTACCCAATTTTTAATGTCATCCTCAATAGCCACATCAACAACATTTAGCCCCACTAAAAACGAAAAAAACAAGTTACATTCATGACTCATAAAATCTTTCTCCACATCAGCATCATAATTCCTCATAAAAACTTATTCAATACTCACGTACCTTTGCCTACATCTTTTTAGTCGATGCCATTGATTATGTGCGTCAAAATTCTTTGCGGAACTGAGTCTTCGTTTAAAACAAACACTATGATCTCAACTTCACCAACTTATCATTCCGCAACAAAACATTTTATATGTAGTGGAGGAAAGAATTAGGGTTTTGTCGTTTTAGCCGCTTTCACTTAGATTCCAAGTGTACGTTGAAACAAGATTTTCAAAATGAAAACCGTACAAAATTTGCATCAAAATCGTTGGAGCAAAGCGTTCAAAATAAAAATTATCAAAAGATTTTGAAGGAACGCAAGCGTTCTTAATGTCCCACTAGACTAAAATTATCAAAAGATTCATGTCATGAGGGAGATATTAGTAAAACCAACGATCAGACCTACACAAGCATTGATATATATGAGAAAATGCAGATATAAGAATCACAGAGCTGCCTATCGGTACTTGGACAGACAATTACAAGCTTTGGTTGAGAGAACTGAATAAGGATGGTGGTGTGAAGGTTATCAAGGTAGATGGCTTGGTTTAATCAGATTTTTTTGTATGCTTGTTTCTAATTGTTTCTTCTTCTTTGTATGTAGTCTATTATAGAGAATGTATTAGATAATACAAAGGTGGACTTCACTGTAACAATGAGTGAGGAGAATCTGGTATGGATTAGGAAGCAAGATATTACTGAAATACTAAAACTCACTTCGACAATCTCAACTGTCAACATGTATCTCTTTGACGGGAATGACGGGAATGAGAGTGTAGAAGAAAGTAAGTGACATCTCAATGTCATTGTATTTTCGTTTTGTTTTAGTTCCATGTGTTAATATATATATATATATCGTATTTTGCAGTTTTAGAAGAATTCTGTAATCTCAGGAAAATTTACTACGGATTGAGAAAGGCCAAAATACTCTATGAGTTGTAATCAACGTTGGGTGCGCTAAAGGATAAACAATGGAGATGTAAAGTGGGCTGATGGTGTAAACTCGGTGATATCTTTCTTGGAAACAAATGATATTCCAAGGGACAAAATTGAGCAATTTCTTGAACTCGCTGGAAAATTTTTACTCCGCGTGGCCTTGAAGTTAAAAGATGGAGATAGCTGACATGTAGCTCCAGATAGACAACCTTGACTCGAAATCAGAAGCTGTCATGTGGGACGAGGATATTCTCTATTGCGACTTGGAGTTTCAGGTATTTTAACCTTAAATAGTATAAGGGAAAATTATGAAAATAACTCAGTAAAAATTTAAAACTAAAAAAATAGGCCAAAACTATTATAATTAAAAAAATAGGCTAAAGATTCCACAATTAGCCTCTTCTTTAAAACAAACGTGAGTTAGCATTATCATCATCCTCTGTTTCAAGTTTTTCACCATTAGCAGCTTCTTTATTCTCTCTTTTCTTTTTGGTCAAAGCAAACACAATTGTTAAGGTTTAGTTTTTCCTTAAACTCTAAGAATAATCTTGTTACTAAAGAGTGAAGAGTGGAAGAAAATAATGATGATTTAAAGTCAAAACTCAATCTTAAAATGAGAGAAATCAGAGCTTGTTTATCTGAGATCATATTAGCAGGAGGACCAAACACACTCGACTCAATCTTCTCAATTCTCACTCCTAGAAACCTAATTAATCTTTTTCCTATTGCTAGTAAACTGCTCTCCTTTACTGAAACAGATAAAAGATGCTCACTTATGCATACGGATCTGCTGGTATGGCAAGAGCGTAATCCTCCTCCGGCTACAATAATGTTTATAACCGATCAGGTGGAAAAGACCTTCTTTTGCGGTCGTTGCCGGTTTCAACAACGGGTGCATGGATACAAACTTGTTTTGGCATATACATCTACTTCTACACCAGCTTCTGCAGAGTGGCACGGGGGAAGCTTACTGACAGGTGTTTGTCCTTGAAATAACCATCAAACTATACCAAACTAAGCTGTTTCTGAGCTAATTAGTTATCTTCCACAGATTCAGAGACACCAAGACAGGTTCTTCATAAGTGGAGTGAAACTGGTGAATCTGCCATGTTTCGTTGCAGATCGTGCCTTTTTGATGCCCAAAGCCTTGAAGATTTTACCAAGCATCTCTCGGGTGGAAAACATGCAGATATAGTAAGTTAGCATCCTCTCTGCTTGTATCAATTACATTTTTCGTTATAGACAGTTTGAGTAACAACCTGTCTGTTATCTTTTTCCAGGAGATTAGGATTATTGATCAGTCTATTCGTCCAAGCACAGTACAAGGCAAGTTTTCTTAGTACTAATTGTAGTTTTTCAAGAGAAAAATATAAATCTGATTTCTCAGAAACAGTTTGGTCCCCCCAAATGTGAAATACAGCACATTTGAAAGTTTGGTTTTCATAGTTAGAGAGAGACCTTGAAAAGACGAAATTGGGATATTTTATGCCATCTTATGTATTTACGTCCCTAGTACTCATGTTTCATATGCATCTTGCAGTTGGAAAATTCTCGAAAGAGCAAGTATTTGAGGAAAGCATTCCGGACGGGTTTTCGCCTTGGTAATTATTTACGTCTTTCTAATCGTGGCTCTCTCCGTGGAGCTCGAAGAAGGGAATTGTTGCAGTAATGATCAGTGGGTGAGAATCTCAAACCTGCAAGAAAGAGAATGAGAAACTGTTGCGGAAGTGTTCAGTCCTCGGAGTTCTCGTTTGTTGAATGCGCTTTATGCGTTTCTGTTGTCGATTCAAGTAATTTATTTTCAAAGTTTCGTTTAATTTAAAATACGATGGATATGTATTTAAAAAGTAAGTTAATCGGAGTACTGTATTCTAGTATAACTTAATTTGTTTAGTTATATTTTAAATTAAACGAATTCATAGAATGTCATTTGAGTAATTATTTGTACTATGCTATGGATATAAATTTCAATTCATAGAATGTCATTTTAGATTTTAAACCTCCAAAGTCTTCAAAATTTATGGCTTTTGTTTTTGGAAAATTTGATTCTTTTTTCATTTGGGTTGTTGATGCGTGTTGGTTTCAGTTTTGAAATAATCTTATGTGTGCGTCTCTATCTCTCTTTCTACACTTTAATAGTGTATATATATACCAAGTTACCGACACTGTACATCATTTGTTGATTAATGAGAGTAAGATTGATTTGCTAAAAGTTTCCGTGCCATTTCAGGTTTCAGAATGTTCTTTTAACCAATTTTTGTTCAAAAAGTTGCAAGCGTTTTTTTGTCGATAGGGTAGCAAGATAGTTGAAGGTTTAGATAATCTGATAGATCTTACAATTGTATTGGGTCTTTAAGAATCTTTGTAACACATATACTCTTTTGTTTTGCGTTTGGTGGACTATTAAAGCAGGTGAAATGGGAAGAGAAATTGTTGAGGTGCTTATGGACCGAAATGCCGACGTTTCAAGTGGTAGAGTTCACGTTGCTCCTAAGATAGCTGCAGAGGAGCCTGAGGAGGAATTTGAGGTCAAGGAATGCACCTAGGGACGATTCTCTTTCCGAGAATGCACCAAAAGTCGAAGCAGCGTAGAAAATCGGCTCTCAAAAATCGCCTAAAACCCGAAATACTAAGATTTTAAAGATATGATATCTCAGAAGACTGAAGATCTTTGTTTTGAAAAACTGGGAACTATGATGTTATGTAACACTCACTGATAAGAGAAATGTGAAAGATTGAGCCTTGAAGGCGATTTTGAACCGTTTGTTTATGTTTTTTGCAGCACGGTGTTCATGTTCCCGCGGTGAGGAAGCCATTGCAACCGGAGAACAAGAAGCATATCGATGACGATGATAATTGCTCAATCGCTTCTTCGTATGATTTGCTTGGCTTTATTATCTGATACTTGATATGCTTATGTTTATATATGCACTTGAAACTTAACATGACAAGACACACAAAGAGGTAAGTAAGTTTTCCACCTTTCTGCTTCCACAAATCAATTAAGCGCTTTAGTTGTCTAGCAAAGCCAACAAAAATCCTTCATAGACTCATAATTAGAAACATAATTTGCACTCTATCTTATACAATCCATTATTTTGTTGTGTTTATTGATTGATATTTTGTGGGGATTGTGTGCCTTTTAGTATTACCAAAAGCTTGAAGAGAGAAACCAAGCGCTTGAAGCTGAAAGGAACGAGCTTGGACAAAGGCAAAAGGTAAAGTTACACATTTTCCAGTAGATGCAGTCTTCTCGGATTTTCAAAATCAAAACCTCAATTGGTTTGAAACGGTTTGTAGGAAGCACAAGAAGCAGCCTTGAAACAACTTAGAAAGAACATGAAAATAGGTTGAAAATGATGCTGTAAGACAGATTGAAATGATGGTTGACAAATGACGGTGTGTATAACCGTACCGTACATAAAAGAAAATGATTCACTGGCAAACTTGGAAAACAGCTGCTGTAATATGGAAGCGCAAAGAGATTAGTACTACTCCTTCTGATACACAGAGAGGGTTTCATATAACCGTACGGTATATCTTCTATATATTAATAGAGGAGACACTAGGTGAAAATCCTATGTGTCATCTAAAGAGGGTTTTAAGGAACTAATTTCCTAATAAATATTTTATTAAAAACTTTTAATGACAAATATATGGACATAACGAATATGTGATAATTAATATAGAGAATTTTATTTTAAGAATATAGAAAATATTTGAAAATATCTTATTTTCTTTTCAATAATTACTAGATTTTTTTATCCGACTCAAACACGAGATTAGAATATTCAAAAACAAAAATTCATGATTATTTTTAATAAATGGGAAAAATTAAAAATAACAAAGATAAAATATATTTATGTTTGATCAAAATTTAATTTTA